CTCCTCCTGGAGCACCGTCTGTGCCCAAGCGGCCGGCACCCTGTGCTCCGCCTCGCCCGCTAGCGAGTTATTCGTAAGTTATAATAACAGGGTCTGTGTCTGTCCCCCGGGACGGCTGCCTCTTCCTCCTGGTTCGCACCAGCCCCGTCCGGCTGTGCCTCAGAGCAAGCCTGGCACCCGCGGGCCCGGAGAAGAGGGGGAGCGGGCGCCGGCCCCCCCGACCGAGGGAGAACCCTGGAGCCGTCCCATCTCTGCTCAGGGTTCTCTGACGTTTCTCTTCCCGCTGATACTGGTCATTGGTCTTTTCCCAGAAGTGCCCCCATTCCCTCTACACGACTTCACTCTTACACAGACCTCCTCACGTGCAGGCACCTTGCCTGCTGATATGATTGTACATGTTTAAATGTGCACACATACTGTCATGTGCATGTAAATTGTTCTTTAAAAACCCCTGCTTCTGTCGCTGTAGACCAGGGTGGACCGTCCGGCCTGTGGGCCGTGGGAGGCCCGCGAGCCATTGGTCTGGCCCTGCCAGGCACTGGGGGTTCACGACATGTCTGAGCGAGCAGAGCAGCGAGCTTTAAGTTGGTGATCGTGTGGCCGCGCATGACGTCATACACGTCCGAATGGCTCCTGGGGTGGGGGGGGTAAGGCTCCCGCCCGGCCCTGCCTCCTCCCCGTGGGAGGCTATGGAGTTTGTGAGGAACAGCGAGGCCCCTCCCGCCGGCCCTCCTGCAGCTCCTCCCTCCGGGACGGTCCTGTTTCCATCCGCAGAGGACGTGGCGGACGCGGCGCAGACACAGGGACCTGGTGCCAGGCCTCCTCCCTGCAAGGCCCGCCCGCTCCTGGGAGACGACCTTGGGCTCCCGGCTGCCCTTCGAGAGGCAGGATCTGATTGGCGGTAACTCGCATCGGCTTCGCCTGAGCAGTTGGGTGTCTGCGCTGCGTGACCCGCAGGGCTCATGCCCGTCCTGCAGCTGGGGTGTTGCCGGGTCCCAGCGCTAACCCCTGAGCTGCCTCGGCTGCCCAGGTCCCGGCAGCCGTAAGGAGCCTACTGTGCACTGACCCTGAATGTCGGGGCCTGTGATG